TGGGACTCTCCTCTCTACGTACAAATTTCTACTTCTTTCCTTTTGTTTTCCTTCCTTCCTCTGCCATTCTTCCTTTTATTTCCCTCACAGTTTAAGTGAAACCAAATACATTTCAGTCTTCCTCTTTACCTGTGGCTGTGGTGAGGATTATTGCTAAGAGCTGGTTCTTAAGCCTTTTCACCTCTTGCTGCATTGATTTCAGTCTGGCCATAGGTAATGAGGGGTGAAGTATGCGAATCCTGCAGCATGCACATGAGCTTAGATAGAAGAAGCTGGTTGAATTTGGAATTTGTTGCAGGAGATTCATTGAAAAGCCTAGCTAGAATTTCCCTGTCATGCGAACGCTCCTATTTATGATTGTCAAGATTTTTCCATCAGAAAAATGAAATCCCTGCATAATGGCTCTTTATGTGAGAGGATACATTCACTCTTTCTGGCCCATTTAGGGCATCAGGACAAGACTAATAAAAAAGGCACCCACCTCCCGTCCTACCCTTCTAGCACCCATTCCTGTCTCCACAATTAGCTTGGCAGCCGGGCTTGTTCTTCGTGCTGGTGCAGCGTGTTCTCTTGCACTGACATGGTTTCCTACTGCCGCGAAGGAAAAGGTTAAGAACTAAAAGAAGCTCTGCCATCATCCACAAGGCATGAGGAGCCCGGTGCTGCTCCTGCCCTGCAGAATTCCAGCACCTGATGGACTGGACCTTGCGGCCTTCTGTGAAAGGTAATCCAGCTCCAGGGAATTATAAATACCCTTTGGTGAGGCAGATGGGGAGCGTGGTAGGGCAGAACGCGGTATGTCCCTGTGAGTTGGTTCAGAAACAAGTGCTGTGCGCCTGTTCTTGAACTAAATTAAAGTTGGTGTAAAATGCAATGCACCAATAAGCAAACCTTGGCAATTTGGATGTGGAAGGCGTCCCGTGCTCAGAAATGTTCAACCACTGCTTGTGGTTTCATTGTGTGGATGCAACAGATGAAAAGATGGGGCAGATCATGTTAGAGGATAATAATCAATCAATAAAAAAATAAATCAATAAAAAAAATCATCAATAAAATGAAGAAGGTCTGCAGGAAATGGGGATTACCCTGTCTTTCCCCTTTCTTGGCTAGGTTCAGTCTTCTGTGCTCTTTGTACAAGACCATTTGGAGACAGTGTGATGCCTCACCTACTGAGGTGGATTTAAATCTTAACGTCCACATCTCTAGCTAGGATTATGAAATGTGCTATTTCTTTTTGACATTTGAATGCAAGGGTGTCTGCATTCTGCTGTCCAAGTTTTGATTTAAACGCAGCTGAATATTCCAGAAAGAGGAAGAAAGAAGACTGGTGTGATGCAACAGTCCACATTCAAGGCAGTAGTGCCAAGCTTTGATGAGGGAATCCACCTGAAGGAGGCTAACATTGTGCAATGCCCTGAGAGGACCCATGCAAACCAGAAACTACACTGACCTTCCTGTTGATTGTACTCTTTAGACCTTTTCTTCTGTGCTGCCACTAGCCAGAAGGAGCAATGCTAAACCACCCCTGCAAATGGTGAGACATTGGCTTCTCATTTCACAGGGTTAGAAAGAGGGACAATATAAAAATGAAGTTTAGCTGCAAATATGCCATATCACAATGATATTTGTGAGAGCCTAACTGTTAGCACAAAGGTGTAGTGCTCATTTTAAGAACTCTTCCACAGTTCTTATAGTTTTGCTGTGCTTGAGCCGTTCAGATGGACACCTGTAGGAAGCGTCTGAAACACAGCACGCAGGGTGATCTGTTTCACAGCCTTGGTCCACAACACACCTGGAATTTTTCACCTGAAACCCTCCTGCTGCTGGGAGGAGTTGGTGGGAGCGTGACTCATGGCAAGTGACTCATGGCCTGACTGCCCCACTGGGATAAAATCTCTGCAGAGAGGGTTTGAAGGATTACCTGCTTTGATCACATGGGCTCACGTGGAGGCTTGTCTCCATCCTCCTGTTTGCTGACAGGCATCTCATTTTGAGGCAGCTGCTCACGTTCTGCTCATGGCCTTTGCAGTGATGTTAGCGGAAGGATCCCTGCGAGATATATTTACACTGTAACACACTGCATCTAGGTTTAGGTTTAGTATCAAGTAGTTTGGGTTCTATGTTTTATTCTCTGAAGCGACACCAAAAACATGACTGTTGGAAGTATTGGAAGTATTCTGTTTCTGAAGTCTGTCTGTTGGGTTCTGCTCCTGACTGGAGCACCCACAGCAGTTTGGGCACAGGCCCAGCTTGCACTAGTGCAAAACTGTCTGGCAGAGAACAGATGTCTTGACGTGGATATGAATTATTTTTTCACTGATTTTTTCACTCCTTTCCTCACTGGCAGGGTAGCAGAACGGCACAGTGCCACAAGGAAGAAGCAAATGGATCAGTTCTAATTAGCATGACAGCGCTGACGAGGATGAAACTTTGTGCTGGCAAAATGGGGCTGTATTAACTTTGCACTGATTTATTCCAAATTTGAGCACTGTTTGTCCTCATGCAAGCAAGGAGGAAGTGGAGAATTATACTTAATATTCATTTTCAGTGTTGCAGTTAATTGCAAAGTTCTCTGAAATATGAATATATTTCCTTTCCTAGTGTTTCCCCTTCCATTAAACTATACCATTGATTTCTCATTGATTTTGACTAAAAAAGGCCGTTCTTCGCAGCAACGTTGTCTTCCCTTTTTAGTTGAATTGATTGCGCATTAATGCTAATTTGTAATTTTACCGATGCATGCCATGTTGCATTTAGCTGTTGTTGCGTCTTAAATCATTCAGCACTCTGTTTATCTGTATATAATATCTGTTCCTCAGCCTGATTCAGACTTGCAGAAGGCATTTATGTTTATTAGATAGCTGAGATGAACATTTTTGTTCTTTCTCGTCTAGTAGGAGACAGAGAGTTGCATATTATTTTTTCATACACTCTCTCTCACACTCTCTGTCTGAGAGGGGAAGTTCTTTGTTGTGAGAGCAGTGAGGTGCTGGAACAGCTGCCCAGAGAGGCTGTGGATGCCCCGTGCATCCCTGGAGGTGTTCAAGGCCAGGTTGGATGGGGCCCTGGGCAGTTTGGTCTAGTATTAAGTGGGGAGGTTGGTGGCCCTGCATGTGGCAGGGTTGGTGGGATTCATGATCCTTGAGGTCCCTTCCAACCCAAATCATTCTGTGATTCTATGGTACAGATTTTTAAATAACAAAAAATTGTACGAGGTTAACAGTGATCCAGTTTACAGCAGGGGAGGAAAACAGCCTCTGTGAAAGCTTTGGTAAAGGAGAAATCCCTTCAGAAGAAAGTAAACAGTTGCAAGGATTGTATGGTGAAGAAGTTACTCATTTCCATTCTGTGGCAGTGGAATGGCAATATATGCATGCAGCTTCTTTTCATTAAATGATATTGTTGGCTTTTTAGGCAAATGTGTTTTGTTTAGAAGTGTGGTCCCAGGTTTCAAATATTACCTCAGACATCTGTGATTAAATGAGGAATTCTAAGGTCCTTATTTCCTTAGTTGAAGTTAAATATTGTGGCCCCATAAACTTGGGCAGTCTTTGTTATGCAGTGTGAGCAGTGCTCTGATTTACCGTCACTCATGAAAGCATCCCAGTTCTCATTTGGTCTCATTTGGTGTTGTTTTGTAGCTTGAAAGATGCACTGAGACATAAAACCAGGAGGCTTTACATTGTGTTTGTTTTCCAAGAAAGAGCCTCCCTGTGCTGCAGGATGCAGTGTGTTCTGTGGCCTTGGGATGCACAGAGCTAAAACTCCTCTACAAGGAGCAAGCAATTGACTGCAGCCAGAGCCCCTCCTGCCCTCATGTCTGTGTGAGTAGCCCCTGCTCTGTGCCACCAGAGACTCCTGCAGGTAGGCAGCCTGTGGCTGGCTTGACTTCCCAACCTGAGCTCTGTTTGAGCAGTAGGGTCATATCTGTAGGGTGAGGATTAATCAGGGAAGCAGAGGAAGGCAAAGCACCTGAGCAGAGCGAGGCTTTTAGAACTTGTGAAGATGAGGAAATCTCTACTATTTTTTTGAGGTTGATAGCCTCCATGAGAGCAGACAGCAAGACTCTGTTGGCTCAGGAAGCCATGGTGTGCACAGAACGTTTGTGGTACCCAGGAGGGCATGGTGTGCAGCAGCGCTGTGGTGAAGAAAGCACTCACTGAGCCTGGCAGCAAGCACACAGCTTGTCTTGGTGTGCCAGTGACTGCAGCTCAGAGAAGGAGGGGGTTGTTCTTCACTTTGTTCAAGCAGTTTGACCTCTTAGAGCCACAATGAAGGGGAAAGTGCAAGCCAGAGGCTGGTTCCAAAAGTGACATGCTTTCTTTTCCATGCTTCAGTAGTGGTTCTCACCTTTGGGATAGCAGCATGTCCTGGTTCCCTCTGAGCTCCTGCAAGGATAGGAGCTGCTGCCAGGTGCTTTACTGTTTCCTCCTTGAGGAAGAAGCAAGGTGTCCTGGCATTCAGAATGCACAGTGTCCATTGCCTGTGCCATACAGCAAGCTGCAAGGCAGTCATCCATACCTGCCATTCAGGAGCTCCACAAAAATGCAGAAGCCAGCAGCAAACAAGGAGAAAAGAGTAGAAAGAATGTAAGAATAAACTTTCAATTAACTGAACAGGTGAATCAAACCCTTTGCCTCTGATCTTTGACAGAAAGGTAGAATAAATTGGGTGGAGACGTGGAATATAAACCTAGACATCTGGAAGGCACTGGATCCTCCAGTAGAGCAATCTGGGTGCTGACATAGGTGCAAGTCAGTCTTAAGGTGCCTTACTTTCACCATTTAGCCCTGAGAAAGTTCCTGTTCTCAAAAGTTCTGTTGGGTGTCACTTTCCAGCTGAGTCAGTGTCAGTAACAGTGGCTGCACAGGGATTGCTCTTCTGCTCATCAGTCTTGTGCAGAATTAGTTAAAAATTAAAAAAAAAAAAGTGAAACATTTTTCCTGAAAGAAGACATTCCCAAAGAATGGATGACCTATTTTTTGCTTTCTTTAAAACAGTTTCAGTGGTGTGAAGGGAGCTGTAGTGGTGGGCAGGCCAAGGCAGTCTCATCCTGGGCCTGTGGACTTCACTCGAGGTAAGTCACTCCCATGCTTGGCTGTCATTGTGCAGTCTGAGCTGTGTGATAACAGTGTGAAACATGCAGTGTTGAGATGAGAATGGCTCTTCAGCCGTGCCCTTCAGTGCCTTTTCTGATGGGCTCAGCAGTACCATGGGGCACTTACTGGCTGCAGGCTTGGGGCGAGCTGTGGCTGGGGGAGATGGATGAGTGTTTCCAGTGTGATGCAGTGCATACACAGCTCCTGTGCCAGTCCTGGCCCTGCACGGGGGCTGTCTGGAAGGAGACTCTACGGAGTGCCCTAAAAATATCCGAGTGTCACTCAGGGTAGGAAGGTGGGGATGCCCAGAGCTCTTTTGTCCCTTACTCTGTGTGCTGGAGGACTTGGCATTGGCTGCTGTCTCTTGCTTTGTTCTGTGTCTGTCTTTGTCGTAGCGGGTTTGGTGAACGTGCTTCCCTTCAAGTTTTTTCTTGTTGGCATGACAGTGAAGTAAAGAGATGTGGATAAAGTGCAGCTGTTCTTTTCAAAGCATATGTCTGTGCACAGGAGAACTTGAGGTTCCGGCAAAGCGTCACAAGATCTATGAAATACTGTTGCTGTAGAGTAACTTCCGTTGAACAGCAGTTGATTGTGTTCAGCTGGCTGAGGAGACAGCAGTTAGCATCAAGGAGCAAAAAAAAAACCAACAGAACAATCTTAAAACAACAATCCAAGTGAAAGCAAATTGTATCTCCAAAAACTTTGAGCATATCTCTGTGTTTGGCTGTTATTCTTTATTTATTATTGTTATTATTTTTGCTGGGGAAACAATCTACATTTAGTAAATCTTTTAGTGAACACGTTTCCCCTTGATTCTCAAAAAGCTCTCAGGTTTTAACAAATCGTGTGTGCATGTGTGTAGGTTAAAAAAAAATAAAAATGATAGCATGTTCACTTGAGAATGTCGTTTATACATTTAAGCTGTAATAGTCAGGCAGTCTTGAGTAGCTTGTAGCTTATAAAAGTGGCATAAATATCTCATGATAGGAAGTTAAGAAGCTTGAGCTCTTGAGACTGCAGAACTCCATGTGACCTGGATGGATTGGTGTGTGACAAATGGGCCTTCTGGCTCCAGGTGACTTCTCAGGATTCGCTAGTGAGCGTTCCTCCTCCTCTCGGAATTTAGACATTTCAGGTTAAAACTTATTTAACATTAACTAATTTTAAGAAGAAAGGACCATTGCTATCCTTGCTGAATGCCAAAAGTACAGCCAGAGCAGAAATAATCACATCTCATCAAGGCTACGTGCTGCAGCTCAGTAAGCTCCCATCAAACCCACCTTTTCTATAGATGGCTTTTTCTTCCCTGACTTCTCCTTTCTGAAGGCTTGGTTAGGTAGGAGACTATGCAGCTGAACTCATCAGACCTGGTTTCTCAGAAGAGAACAAGACATGCTTCAGAAAGAAGGGCAAAAGCTCTTTCCATTGCCAGCAGTGTGTTCATCCCACCTCCTCCATGACTGCTTGCAGACTGCAAAGCTGAAGTTCCCTCTGCACCCTCTGAAGGGAGCCTAACGTGGCGTTGAAGCCAGTTGCCTTTCCCCTGGATGAAGGGTCAGGGATCCGGCACAAGTTCTCCCCACTGACTGGTTTTTGCTCTGGCAATAGCACAGAATTCCCTGTTGCTGTCGGTAGCGTTTCATTCCCGGAGACCTCTGTGATCTGCAAGTACCTCGTGGCAGGTGAGGGGAAAGGGAACAGGCCTTGTGATGTTGTGGTGAGCCAAAGCAGTGGTGAAAACAGCCCTTCAAGTCTTTCACGCTGATAGCACTGGGTAATATCCTGGGTCAGCCAGCCAACCTGACCTCCACGGTGGTTGCCTGCTAAGTCCAGGCTGCCTTCAGAGCCTCAGAGCTGGGGGTGCTGGCTGTTTTAAGGCTTTGGCACAGAGTTGCTTGTTTTATCCTAGATAAGAGAGGTTGAGACACAAAGGCTTTCTTTGTGGCGTTTTTGTTGCATAGTGATTTCTGATGGCCAGAAACAGCCCTGAGTAGGGTACTGTTGTTTCACATATGGCTAGAAAAGCATATAACTTTCTCCAAGGACACTGGTGTTGCCAAGTTACCCAACTCCAAGTCACCCTGTTGCAGAACACTGCATATGGGACCATACACGGAAATCACTGCTATATTGAAGGCAGTACAAAATAAGAGGTGCTTGTTTAGCAGTGCGTCATGGAGACATGTAGCAACATTTTCTGAGAACTCACGTTGGCTCAAGTAGTATCAAAGGGGAATTCAGCCTGTGGTTGTAACCTGTGCCAGGGGTTCCCAGGTTTATGTTGCGCTGGTAGCAGCAATAGCAACCGTGGGCATAAGCAGCAGTCATTGTTATCATTGCTGGAGCCAAGGGTGGATCATGAGACAGTGGTCACTACAGACGTGCTGTTTCATGCCTATAGGAAGACATGCCTCTAATTTCTCCTGTGTAGCCTTTGGTCGTGTGCTTTCATAATCACCAACCTACCATCGTCCTCCCCAGCAGGACCCCTGCTCCCTGTCCCAAGTCGAGACCCGCACTTCACCCTTCATTTACTGAACCCCATCTCCATCTCCTGTGCTCATGGAGATGTTGGCACCAGGGCTGTGGCAGTTCTTCCCTCAGTGATTTCAGTACCACAGCTTAGCTGCTCGTAAACACATTAAGATCTCTGCTCTCCGGGATAGCCCTTGTTTCACTGCAGTGGCTGCATCCAGCAAAAAGATGTTCCCTGAAAATAACAATAACATTAAAAAAGCTGAGGGTTTTACACAGACCTTTGAGGTAAGATTAACTCAGGAGGCCAGTCCATTGCTGAGAGGCACTAACCACTGAGTGCCAGAAATGTATTCTTTGTGAACTGCACTGTGTTAGTAAAGAATTAATTGATGAAGTATCAGAACAGTCCAGGGTAAAATATCATATGTGTATGGAAAAGATGGTGATGAATGGGAAACTTCAAAATAAATCAAGCTGTGTTGCCTTTTTCTGGTGTTCCTAGTGCCGTTTTGTTCTTCAGCAGCTTGATTTGGACTATACAGATGAGCTGACTCTAGAATTGAAGTAGAACAGTGGGCAGACACTGATGTAGATGTAGCAGCTCTAACAGCCTGCTTGTGTTTAACCAAGCTAAAGACAATTTCAGTGAGGGCATTTAAATATTTTCAGAAAATACAGTAAACCAATTACATTTTAAAAAGGAAAGTCCCATTCCCTTGTGCTAGAGCAAGACCAGATCTTTCCAGATGATCTACATCAGAAGTGTGGTCTCCTGACAGCTGCTGGTGCACGACTGACCAGGCTTGAGGACAGTACTCAAGTGAAGGACTGTTTGCTGCAACGCAGGCTCCTCAGAAAAACCCCTGCAGCTTCACAATACCGTAGGATGAGCATCTTGGGTGCCTTTGTGATAAAGTAATCCTTATCTACTCTTCCTGAAGCCGCTCACAGTGCACGATGCTTAGCAGTCCTACTTCCAAAGATAGAGTAGTGGAATATTCTTCCCTATTTTCTTTTTCATCTTCGTAAGGTTACCTTTGTTAATGAAGGCAACCAAGCCAGAGAACAGCAATGTTCTAGTAAATGAGGGTAAGTGGCAGCCCAAAAGTACATGAAGAAGTGAACTGAAACCTAACAGATAAAGGGGACATGTGCTGTGCGGCATGCTCTGAGTGTGAGTGAATGAGTACAGCTTCTGCAGTACACAACTGCTTGCAGAGGGAATCGGGTGCTGTATCTTCTGCTTCACTTAACTGTGGTGAATTAAAGCATCGAGGGAAAGTCCCGCCTCTGGTCACTGTGGTTTTGATAGTTTAGAGTCAGACTACAGTGTCACCAGACATGGCCTCATTTCTCCACTTACATCATTAGTTTAAAAGAAAAAAAAACAACAACCATACGACAAAATTCCCACAGAGCCACTTGAAAATAGTTACTGATTCAGTTAAAAACAGCTGTATGATTCCATATTATTGGCTAGATTGCCTGTGAGCGTGGCCTGCCATCTGGAAGCCAAGGAAGCCAGAAGGACACCAGGGAACCCTAGGCATATTCTATGATCTGTGCTTTATTCTTTAGGACTTGTCTTTGGGAATTCTTGTGTGAAAATGGCAAGGTAAGAGAGAGAGGACAGGGGAAAACAAAAAAGTCAATGTCCCAGCTCGAGGTAAGCCTTCAGAAGAATCTCTTCTTTGATTACGCGTTGTGAATTTTCTTTGTTTTTCACTTTGTTTTTGAAGTCTTGGGTACTGTCAGATGTGGGTGAGGAGCTGCCTGGATCATAGTGTTTCTCCTGTTTGGCAAATTGAGAAGGCAACTTCTGAGTTAAACTGATTTTTATGGTTAATTCTGAGTACCTAGGCTTAAACGTCAGACCAGTAATTTGCCTAGTGAGACTCAAACTCAGTTGCTCTCTGCCTGTTCCTACCATTCTCCACTACCAGAAAATGAAGTTCTTCAGGGAATAACCGTGACAAATCACTTTCTGCTGTGATGCAGGAAGATCTGGGTTTCTGAGAATACCTTTGGAAGGAGCAGGCGTGGAGCAAAAGGTGTAGGCAGAATGCACTGGGGCCAGAAGTGTTCCCGTGGTGAGAGCTGAGACAGCCCCAGTTCACTGGGCCCAGAGGTCTTCAGCTGGGTGCAGGAATCCCTTGTGGTTGGGGCTCAGCCTGGTTTTGGTTTTGTCCACGGAAGTTTATTCAGGTGCCAGGAGGGAGCAATTAGACCAAGCGCTTAATGGAATGCCGAAAGCAGCAATTCCTTATAGGGTGGCCTATCTAGGACTGATCCTAGAAGCTAAAGAGCTGTTCATTATACACTGTTGCTTGTCTGACTCTTCTCCATTGGGAGTGAAGGATTTCAGAGCTGGTTTGGAAGCTGGTGGTATCTGCAAGATGGCCACCTTCCTTAAAGAAAATCTAAACAAACAGGTTTTTCAGACTAGTAATGTAACATAATTTATCCAGAGCGAAGGGACTTTTTGTCTGGAGTTTGGTGAGTGTTTTACATGAATGCTAGAATCAGGCATTCTTCAAGAACAGCGCATTGTTTGGAAAAGAACTGTGACTGTGCCCTCAGGAAAGGGATGATCGCAGTTCAGTGGTGAAGACAGCATTAGGAGCAAAAAAGCAAAAGCAGTGTGGAGGGGGAGGGAGAATGGGTAGCAGTTAATATAAATTAGAAATGAAGTGCAGAAAACTGGAAATAAAAAGGGAAATGTGAAATTATCCTCGGCTGCTATCTTCAAGGACATTATAGAATTTAAACAATCTGCCTGAAACAGAAAATTGTGTAAGGCCTCTTTGAAATGGAAATGGTGCAATTGTTAATGAAGATGAAAATAAGCAGAAGCGTTTAGCAAGTATGTCTGATCTGTTTTTGGATGACAGCAGAATAATGTACTTGAATCACAGGAGGACAATGCATTAATTTCTAAATTATTAGGCCACCAGGAAAAGGTATTATAAAACACTGACAAAGAAGTACTTCAGAAGGAGCCTGTTGATGACTTGCAGATGAGAGCCTCGGCAGTAATACCAAGAGCACAGGTGGTTTGCAAGTGGCAATTTTGAATACTGGGACAGCTGGGACACTGGGCTGCAGTATGCCAGAAGGGAAAGTGGAGGGCTGGAGCAAAGCCATCGTGGAGAGCTCATAGCAAGGGCTTCTTCCCTGGTCCGTGGGTCCCTGCAGGCTCAGGGTGCGGCCCTGGATGACAGGATCCCTTGGTGCATCTCCTGGGCTTAGGGCTGCTGGCGGATGCTGCAGCACAGAGCAATGCTGCTGCTGTGGTAGGAACTGCTGCATTGCAGCCTCTGAGGTTGGAAAGAAGCTCTGCATCCAGAAAGGCCCTGAAGTGCTGCAGGTTTGAGGTGGAAGGGAGCTGGCTGAGATTTGAAGCCACCATCCCTCAAAGGAGTGTTGGTTTGGGGTTAACTGCCTGGGGAAGGCGCCAGACATTGGTTTGCTTGGCTATTCTGTTCACTTGTGCCTTGAACTCCTGTGTACTTAGGAATTAATTTCCTTGGGAAACATTATGAATGGTGATGACAGTGCTCACACGAATTCTCTTTGTGACTGGCAGGGAAGGGAATGCAGAGCCTGCACAGCACTAAGGCTGCTGTTAAAAATGGTGCTTTGGGTGCTGAGCCTCTGCACTCACCACGACAGCACTCAGCTGTAGGGCTTGGGTGCTCCAGAGGCAGTGTGCCTGTGGGCTGAGGGAGTTTTCCCACCTGTGCACCCAGAATCACAGAATCACAGAATCACCCGGGTTGGAAGGGACCTCAAGGATCATGTAGTTCCAACCCCCCTGCCTAGCAGGGCCACCAAATGTACACATTCAGATCAGGTTGCCCAGGACCCTGTCCAACCTGGCCTTAAACACGGCCAAGGACGGGGCATCCACAACCTCCCTGGGCAGCCCGTTCCAGGGCCTAACCACTCTCCTTGTGAAGAACTTCCCCCTAACATCCAACCTAAATCTTCCCTCCTTCAACTTGGATCCATTTCCCCTAGTCCTGCTGTTGTCAGCCCTTTTGAAGAGTTTACTCCCCTCCTGGGTGTAGGTTCCCTTCAGGTATTGATAGGCTGCAATGAGGTCACCCCGCAGCCTTCTCTTCTCCAGGCTGAACAAGCCCAACTCCCTCAGCCTGTCCTCATAGGGGAGGTGCTCCAGCCCCCTGATCATCTTAGTCGCCCTCCTCTGGACCCTTTCCAAGATCTCTCTGTCTTTCTTGTACTGAGGGCTCCACACCTGGACACAGTACTCCAGATGGGGCCTCACAAGAGCCGAGTAGAGAGGGACAATCACCTCCCTGTCCCTGCTGACCACCCCTCTCCTGATGTAAGGTCACCCCCCCAAGTAAGGAGGATTTAGAAGATAAAGCAGAGGACAGACTACATGCTGGCTATGCCTCCATTGGGGCACCACTGGGCTGGCTCTCGTTTCCCAGCCCTGGAGCTCCTTGCTGCTGGAGCTTTTTTTTGCAGCGGGGAGAAGCCTGCTGGAAGGAGCAGCATGCCTTTGGGGTGGGAAGAAGGCAAGGCCAAGGGTGAGGTATTCAGTTAGTTCTCATACTGATGCAGCATTGAATTGCATGGCAGAAAATATTTACCATCTGGGTGGCCCCCCGCTTGCCCACCAGTTCCATCTCACAACTCTGCCTTCGAGGCAGCCCTGCCTCCTTGGCTCCTTGTGGTGAGGGGGCTCACCGCAGCAGCAGAAGGGGTAATTCCACTTCATTTGTTAGTATTGGCTTGATAGGAAGGTAATTTGGCTTTTCTTAAAACATTGGAGCCACTTGTCTGTTTCCTTGAACTGCATTTGACGTGTATTTTTCAAATGCACTTATGTCTCCAGTGAGTGTTTCGTAATTTAAGAATAAATGATTTCTTCTCATTTTATTTCTAGGAAATGCTCCTATCTGTGAATCTCAGAGAGGCTCTTGGGTTGTTAGGCTGACTTCGAGGTTTCTGCAGTCTTTGCTCTTTGCCATTAGCATTACTATTAGTCACTGTTTGCTATGAATGAGACACTGGGCCCAATATGTTTTTTTCCTGCTGTCAAGCTGATACCTTGAATAACGATGTGAAAGCAATATTCATTATTAGATTATTGGAGGAAATGGAATTAGAAATGGGATTCAAAATGGGGTAATTAATATTAATGGCAGCTTTATTATGCCATAATGTTTTGCAGAAGTGCACTGACAAGGTTCTGCACCATACAAGACACACTTTCCTTGATGTGGCTTTGTATAATCGATTCTAAATACCAGGAGCTCAGAGTGAGTAATTACTAATTGGGAGCACAGCACTGCAGGAGGAGCCAGCTGTCCCTTCCCTCCCAGCTGCCTCTCCTCGGGGTGAATCGCAGTCACAGCGCCTGCATATGCTCCTGTGAGCTGCTACCCATATCCTATTTCTCCCTTGATTTTTCCCCTTCTCTGTCCTCTCTTCACCTGCTGCTGCCTATGCTAGCCAG